GCACAGGATAGAACAGGGTTCAGATCTTTTGTTCAAGGGGTTGCTATGAGTCGTGCTCGACTCCATGGCATCTAACAACACTGAATTATCTGAGCCAATCCATTAACAAGGTGGCCACCAGGGGTCAGCCTCACACCCAGAATGGAGCCAACTGAAATTTAAAATCTTAATGATTTTATAGTTGATGAAAAGAACCAGCTCTAATGGATACAGTGGAAGAAGCTAGATGTTGGATGTTTGGGTCCTGCTAGGGCCTTTGGATTTAGAGGTCTGGTCAGATGTGTTCATTATTCTCCCCTTTCTGACCCCTAGTGTATACATGTATGAACCTGACTGCAAAGGAACTCTTGTTATATCCGGTGACATGAGATTGGAGAACAAAACGAAGGCTGCTTCAGATTTCACCCTGATTAGAATTTACTGCTGTGACAGAGACTAGCAAGGTGCCCATGAAACCTGTGTGATAGGCAGCAAAATGGCTCCCCAAACCACGATCTATAAATGCTACCTAATAAGGAAAAGGGTCTTTGCGCTTGTGATTACAAAAGGATCTTCCAGTGCAAAGATTATCCTGGATTATCTGGCTGATCCCTAAATGCAATGGCTTGTATCTTTATAAGAGAGGATATACAGAGAGAAAGAGCAAGGGGGAGACGAGAGGAAATGTGGAGATTTGGCAAAGAAACGTGTAAAGACTGGCCTTGGAGATCTGAGTGATGTGGTCACAGAGAATGGGTGAGTCATGGGATGGATTCTCCCTAAGAACATCCGAAGCAGGGTATCAGGCCAGCCCCACTGACACCTTGACCTCAGTCCAGAAAAACTGACTTCAGACTTCTGACCTCTGGAACACCAAGAGAATAATTTCTGTTGTGTCAAGCCACTACATTTATTACAGGAACCATAAGAAACAAATTCAGTACTTGCCCCTTCTCTGAATAGACAGCAAGACCACGTGACTCAATCTTGTCAGTGTGTACTCCTCCACATACCTCCACACTACTCACATTTAGGGAAGAGCTACGTTAGTTTATTCACTTTTACCTTGGAAAGTAAGAGGAAATAGAGCAGTGTGTGTTCCACTTAAGAACAAGCAGGCCTTCGTGAAGATACCTCATTGCTTTTTCTGGACAGAGGCTCAGCCCTCAGATGAGCAGGGCCCAGTGAATGACGTGCTCTCCCGGGTCTCATTCCTCAGACTGATCACCTCTTCCCATGAAGATCAGGTGAGATGAGGTAAAGGGAAGACTGGGAAGTATTACCACTTCATTCTGTAGACTGAAGTCATCTGCTCCCCTCCACACAAAACGGTGGGCCAGGCTCAAAACTTACTCCTCACTTATCTGGGACAATCATCTTTGCTGACCTTGGATTTTAAATTTGAGGTGTTTTACTGTTAGAAAAATTGTTGTTATGCATCATGTATCATTGAATTGAAACCCACTCATAGCTGATCCTCCAGTGGGTTTTCAGAGGAGGTGAATAGCACAGCACAAGAGGAGATAGCTATCGTTATTCATGTATACTTTGATCGTTTCGTCAGGAAGGGCCAGACCTTGGAAAAAGACATCTTGCTGAAGAAGATGGAGAGTCAGAGAAAGAGAGGAAGACCTACAATGAGATAGACAGACTCCGTGACAGAAACAATGGGTTGGAGCACATCAGAGATCGTGAGGCTGGCTCCGTTCAGATTCATTGTTCACAGGGTTGCCGTGAATGGTAATAAACTTGGTGGCACCTACCAATAACAAATGCAAATGCCACCATATCAAAATCTAAACCATGGGGTATTAACTTAAAAGTTGGGAGCTGAGTGGTAAGAAAAGAATATTGCAGACTGAAAATCTGGTCCTTGTCCTTGAACTCCTACTGTGCCAACATATTTGGTAAAATATCTGCGTCTGAAATCTGGGAAAACAGACCACTGTCTTACAAATCCTATAATACTAGGGAGAGTGATGGGAAAATGCAGTATCCCAGTTGTCATGGATAATAATTTCCCCCCAAAATATGAATTTGGCTAGCCGATGATTCTCAGTATGATACAATTAATGTGATTATTCTATGTCTATCCTAACCCTATGTGGTTAACAAGGCAGGATTGTTTTTGTTGTTGCTGAGTACCATCATGCCAACTATGGCGAATGGCAACCCTCTGAACAGCAGATCTGAACCTTACCCTGTCCTGCTCCATCCTTACAATCTCTGATATGCTCAAGGCCATTGTTAAAGTCACTGTTTCGATCCAACTTGTTGAGAGTCTTCCTTTCTTTCTCTCACCCCCCACCTCTCCCAGCATGATGGCTTTTTATTCAAAGACAGGCACCTTCCTTACAACATAGGCCCAAAGCATATGAGGCAAAGTTTCATCATCCTTACCTCTAAACAGCATCCTGGTTTGATTTCCTCCAAGACAGATGTTTATTCTATTGACAATCAAGAGATATTTAGTGCTCTTCTCCAAAACCACAACTCAAATAAATGCATCATCCACTTGCAGATGCATTATGTTAGAGGTAGTTATGTAACGATGTAATCATCCCCATGATTCAAACAGAGACATGATCAGCCAACCATTTGTAAAGGGGTTAGCATGGAATGCAGCATTCCTACTCAGACTACAGCTCTGAGCTGGTGCAAAGGGAGTTTCCTTGTGTTGTGGCCCTGCATCAGCTTTCATCTTCCAAGAGATTGAAGGGAAAAGAAGCAAGCAGAGAGGAGGGAGACATTAGTACCACTCAGAAGAGCTGAGCAGAGTCCAGTCATCCTTTGGGGCTTTAGGCCGGTGTTACAAAAGGTCAAAATGCTGCTGAAAGTTGTCCCCCTGGGGTGACACTGTTTGTATTTTAAATACTGGTGTCATTGCTTCCAGCATGACAGTAACAAGTAAATCATCACAGAACAACAAACCCACGGATGAGTGGTGGGCTTTGGGATTGTCTGTATGGGAGTAAGGGGCCTTGCAGATCATCTTTCCCCAACTTCACTCCATACTGAGACACTTATTAAATTCCTCCTTTGATTTCAAAGTATTGAGGAACAGGTATGGAATGATTCTTAAAATGTGGTGATGTTGTCCCATTTGTCAAGCCTGTTTGTTCATGAGCAGCTTTTGTTATTATGCACAAGTGCCAAAGGCCTCCCAGAGTTGAAAAGAAAAAAAAATTCACTTAGGGTAGACTCAGAGTCACCTCAGTGTTGACAAAAGGAGACCCTAGGAAAGGAGGATGAAGGAGCAGAAGAGCCCCCAAATCCTCAGGACACGGATAAGACCAAACTCAAGTTAGACAATGAACTGATTCACCTCACTGCCCAGTTGAAGTAATGAGATGTAAAAGGCATGATTGTTGATATGTGCCGCTGAGTTGACTACAATTCGTAGCAACCCTGTGAACGACGACTCTGAACTTTTCCCTATCATCTAAGCCAACTTCGCACATCTGACCCCGTTGCCCCAGTCATGATTAGGATTATACAGATGCAAGACAGAGAGGGTCTGGAAGTGAGATTATGAGTGAGCGATACTATCATAGGAAGGTAGAGGACAAGGAAAGGTGGGACGGCATTCTGCTTCTGTATCTAGCCTAGTTGGATTGAACTTCCCTCAGTGAGGAAGGAAGGTCACTGATGTTGTTGTTGTGTGCCGTCAAATCAAAACCAACTCATTGCTGACCCTCCAGTGGGTTTTCAGAGACAGAAAAACGCATGAGGAGTAGATTGTCCATCCTTCTCCCACAGAGCAGCTCATGGATTCAAACCACGTGCCTTTGGGATTGCAGGGCAGCTTCTTACCACTAGGACACCCAAGCTCCCTTGGTATTCTGGGTAGGAGCTGACTAGACGACTACCAGTATTTCTTCTATACATAAGATTCTATAAAACGTTGAGCAGTAACAGAATATTGAGAGAAAAAAAAATTTGAAAATAGAGTGCATTGATTTAGCGATTTATTAATTTTATTTTTAAATTGAAATATAATTAACATAAAAATTCATCGTATCGAAGTTCAGTGATTTTTAGTTTCTTCACAAAGTTGTACAACCATCATTACAATCTAATTCTACAACATTTTTATCATCCTAAAGAAACTGTGTCCATTAGCAGTCACCCCTATGCTCCTCTTCTCTCTAGATCTAGTCCATATAACTTGTCTACATTCCATGTGTACAGATTTCCCTAGCCTGAACATTTAATGAAAAATGGAATAACACAATATGTAGCCATTCTTTACTGCTTCATTCATTCAGAGTAATGTTGTCATTATGTTTCATTCCTGTATCAGGATTTAACGCCTTTTCATGGCCATATAATATTCCATTGTATGGCTCTATTTATCACTTATTGTATAGATCTTGCTTATTACTTGATGGAAATTAAGCTTGTTTGAGTTTCTCTTTAAAAATATGATTATGCAAATATACCTTTTGCCAATCTGTTTTCCTAAATTAAGGAAAACCAACAGGAAAATTATGTGCAAGTAAGTAAAACAACCAATGACTGGTACTTAAAAAAGAAAAATCACTCTTAATTTTAGATTAAGTCAATGAGATGTGGGGCCAAGATTTGGGCTACACATAGTTCACATCTTCTAATTCTTCCAATCCTATGTCTGAGCTGGCGTCTCTCCACAAAGCCAGTTAACCCACTGGAAAACCATTGGATCAGGCAGGAAGAACAAAATACTACCACTGCTCAAGCCTTTTCTGTCTTCCAAAACCTCTTACGGTTTTACTTGTAAAATTTCACTCTTAAAATGATTCAGGGCTGGGATTAGAGGCTGAAATTTGGGATTAGGTATATATAACTCTGGATAACCCATTTCTGCTATATATAGAACAGCCTTGATTTTCATTGCTTTTTGGTTGAACTTCATCTAAGTGTTCATTTGGAACAAAGAAATTAAGTTTCTGGCTTTAAAAAAATGAAAAAAAAAAATAGCAACCACCAGTCTAGGGGATTTTTGGAATCGTTGGACCAGCGTTGGGTTTTATGGTGGACACTTAGGAGTTCTTCTGCGGCACCTTGATAGTGACTGTCTTCACCTCGGTGTAAGCCTTAAGCCCATCCTCCCCCAGCTCTCTTCCATTGCCAGATTCTTTGAAACCCCCAAATGGTGTGTGGCAGGTGACAATGTTGTAGGTGTTCACCCATACCGTCCCAGCTTGGAGTGCCTGAGTGAAGTACATGGCTTTGTCCAGGTCCCTGGTAAACACAGCAGCAGCCAGGCCATACCTGGTGTCATTGGCCCTCTTAATCACCTCCTCAATCTTCTTGAACTTGAACAGGGGCTGCACAGGCCCAAAGATCTCCTCCCTGGCGATCCTCATGTCATCCTGAACACCTCCAAAGACCGTGGGCTTGATGAAGTAACCACGGTCCCCAAAACGCTCCCCGCCACAGAGAAGCTTTGCACCTTCCTTCTGGCCAAGTTGGATGTAGCCCAGGATTTTTTCAAATTGTTCCTTGTCGACTTGGGGACCCTGCTGTGTATCCAGCTTGAAGGGGTTCCCAACCTTCCTCTGCTTGGCTTTCTCCACAGTTCTCTCAAGAAACTCATCATAGATGGATTCTTCAACAAAAGTCCTGGAACCAGCACAGCAGCACTGGCCCATGTTGAAGAAGAGGGCTTCATGGCACTGCTCCACCGCGTGGTCCATGTCAGCATCGGCCAGCACAATGCTGGGGCTCTTCCCGCCCAGCTCAAGGGTGACCCGCTTGAGGTTGGAATCGCCAGCAGCTTTTTGGATCAGGTGACCCACCTCTGTGGAGCCAGTGAAGGCGACTTTGTCAACATCCATGTGCTGGGCAATGGCGGCTCCTGCAGTTGGGCCATAGCCTGTGATGATGTTCACCACCCCTGGGGGAAAACCCGCCTCCTTGATGAGGGAGGCCAAGTACAGGGCAGAGAGGGGGGTCTGCTCTGCCACCTTCATGACTACAGTGTTGCCGGTGGCGAGTGCTGGGGCCAGCTTCCAGCCTTGCATGACCAAGGGGAAGTTCCACGGGATAATCTGGCCACAGACACCGACAGGCTCATGCCGAGTGAAGCAGAAATGTTCACCATCCATGGGGATGGTCTTGCCATGCCATTTGTCAGCCCAACCGGCAAAGTACCGGTACACCTTGATGACTTCATCAAGGTCTAAGACGTAAGACTCTTGGAAAGGTTTCCCATTGTCCAGGGTCTCCAGCGAGGCCAAGTAGACACGATCCCTTTCCACGAGGTCAGCCAGGCGGTTCAACAGGCGACCCCTTTCAGAGGCATCCATCCGGCGCCATGGAGACCCTAGGCGGAAGGCCTCCCGGGCTGCTTTCACAGCCCGGTCCACATCAGCCCGGTCCCCTTCAGCCACGTGCCCAATGACTTCTCCAGTGGTGGGGTTGACTGTTGGGAAGGTCTTCTTGCTGGCTGCATCTTGCCATTCATTATTGATGAACAATTGGTTGTAGCGGATGTCTGGGTTGGGGATGGGGTTTGGAAGTGCTGCTGCTGCTGAGTATGAGGAGGTCCAGGAACGGAGGCAAGGCAGCCGGGGCACCAGGAAACGCAGCATGCTGACACCCTAGATAGGGATGGGAGGATCCAAAGTGACAGGTGAGAGGTGGCAAGGTGCCCACCAATAGCCCACCAGCTCACATAGTCCAAGACGTTAACATAAAGTGGTGCCCCTAGAATATATATTGAAAGGGGTAGCTATGCTCTGAAGGACTTTCTAATCCAAGCCCGCTCTGTTCCACCTGCTCACCAGCTCACTCCCTAACTCTTTAATCTCCTAACAAGGCCTTTCCCTGACCCCCTTGATAACACTGTGACTTTCCCCATCTTCAGAACTCTCTGTCACCTTTACTTCTCCCCTTCTCCCATCCCAAATACTGCAAGACATCAGAGCTCTTAGTGCTCTGGGAAACCAACTAGACCCGGCCCCCACTGGGCCTTCTGAGGAATGCAGCGAGTCTGACTGCAGCTGGGAGGACCATGTCATGGCCGTCAAGTGGGTTCTGACTCACGGCAGCCTTACATGTGTCAGAGTAGAACTGTCTTCCTTAGAGTCTCTAGTGACTAACTTTTCCTCCATAATCACTAGGCCATTTTTCCATGGTGCCTCTGGGCGGTCTTGGCTGGCCAACATTTTCAGTTATCGGCTGAGCGTGTTAGTCATTGCACCAATCTAGGACTTCAGTTGAGAGAACAGGTCTATTTACTCTTGGCTGTGACCCTCTGAGCATGATAGACTATGAGTACAGCAACCAGAGCCACGTAAAACTCAACTCAAATTCATTGCTATGGAGTCGGATATGACCCATAGCTGACCCTGCAGTGATTTTCAGAGCATGAATAGCATGGGAGGAGTTTACTTATCTTTCTCCTGCAAAGGAACTTGTGGATCCAAACCAGTGCAACTCCTTGCCTACTAGGCCAATTGAAATTTGGATATTTTGTATATTGATTTTTTTTAAGTCCCTATATTGTGTATTGTGTTGATGTTTTATATTCTTGAGGGTCTGCCCATAGTTTTCAGAGGCAATAAATCACATGGGAGGAGACTGACCATCTTTCCTTCTCATAGGGCAGCTGGTGGATTTGAATTGTGTACCTTTGTGCTGGCGGCACAATTCTTTACCACTAAGTCACCAGAGTTAGGGAGCTAACTAAGAAATTGCACTGCAATCTCAAAGGCATGTGATTCAAATCCATGAGCTGTTTCATGGCAAAAGTATGGGCAGCCTCCTCCCATGCATTACTGCCTCTGAAAACCTGCTGGAGACTCAGCTATGAGTTGGTTCCGACTTGATGGCAAACAACATGGAAGCCACCAGAGTTGAAGTTATTCTCCAGCCAAAATTTCTCCAAGTTTTTGTCTCCCTGCAGCTTTATTACATCAAGCAGTAAAACCAGATTGCACCTGCCCCGCCCACTTCAGCAGTCTCCACTTTCCTTCCCTCTCTTGCTGAGCTGGGAGAATAAAAAACAAATACAGGAGATCAAAGTTCCAGTTAGGCGCCCAGTTTATAAAAATCAATGTTGGCCCAGGAAGTGCTCCCTTAGGGGAGAAGTTGAGCCCCTGACCTGGTGGTGAGACCTAGTTCTGTCCAGAGCTCTGCCTGGCCTGGGACAGAAGCTGTCTGAGGGGGAAGGGGCTAAAGGGGAAGTGGGGCAAGGGTGTTTAAAGAACTGACAAGTAAGGGTAAAGGGGCTACTCAGGCAGGAGAGGGGATCATAAAGCTGGCTTTCTTTTCCTGGGGGTCCACCAGGGCCTGGTCTAGTGCTTCTTCTAGGAGCTGGGGAGATCACTGTTCACAGGAAGCCTGCATGTTAATTTGCAGAACCTTCTCATCCCTGAACTCACCGGGCCTCACAGAAGCCCAGGATGATCTCAGAAGAGAATGGTGACTCTTCTTCTGGTAGAAGGCTGAGATCAGAGGGGTTCAGGACCTCACTGGACAGCTGGTAAGGAAGCATAGGAACCTCAGGCCAGATGTCCACAACCCTAACTTTGTGCTTTCTCCCGACTGTGGGCACTTTCTTACAGCTCACTCTATATTGGCTCTCATCTTTTTTAAAGCTAGAAGTACTTAGGCTGGGGAGCTCTGGTGGCCTAGAGGGAAGGAGTTGCATTGCCATACCAAAGGTGGTGGGGTTGTGTACCTTCGAGTTAGAACCAACTCAGAGCTGACCCTCAAGTGGGTTTTCAGAGTCTGTGGAGACGAGAGTGCCCATTTTTTCTCCCGTGGGGCAGCTGGTGGATTTGAGGCACGTGCCTTTGAGTTGACAATGCAAGTCTACTACCTCCGCTCTGTGGAAGAAAGATGAGCAATCTCCTCCAGTGCGATTTACAGCATCTGAAACCGCCCCCCCCCAGAGAGAAAGAAACAAAGGGGGGGAGGAAGGGGGGGTTAGAGAGAGAGAGAATCTCTCGAGATCTTAGGCTAATACTCTTGGTCACCGCAAGTTTCAATTTTACAACGCAGATGTCTTGGATGGAGTGGTCCACCACAATGGGACCACCAAGGATGGAACTAACCAGGAAGATGTTGGGGGATGGTTTAAGGGTCCTGAGTCCTTGGGGCCCGGAACTGAACTGGAGTATCTGTGGGGCAGTGATTGGAGAGGATTCAAGGGGAAGGGGGCAGGGGCCAGACAGGAGAGCCTCCACCAAGGACTGGAGCTGCCCTGAGGTGAGCGTGACAGGGGCGGCGGGTTACCTGTGGCAGGAGAAGTAGCCGGCTGCGGTACGCTCTCTGGACTGTCCAGTTGCTGGCCTGCTGCTCGCGCTAACCCCGCCCTCGCTGTCTCGGCCCAGCCTCCAGTGAGGCTCCGCCTGAGCCTGGGGCCGCTTCTCGGCCTGTCTCCCAGGGGGCCAAGGCCAAGGCCAAGGCGCCTCTAGCGCCCTCTGCTCGAGCTTCCTCCACCCGAGAGGTCTCCCTGCCTTTCCCCGCCCTCCCGGGGCCTCTCGAGCACTCTTGCCCCTGTCTCGCTGCGCTGCTCGGGACTGGGATCTTACGATCTTTCGGAAATGAAAACAAAACAGAGGGAGCCAGGGACTTGCCCAGGTGACACAGACAGATTCTGGAAAGCTAGACTTCAAACACAGTTTGCCTTTCTCTCCCTCACCCCTGTAGTACGACCTTGTTGGGTGATCATACTTAGCTTCTCCTTGACCCTCTTTGTACTCTTCTCACCTCCCTGTCAGCTTGGATTCACTAGTTTCTGTCTGTACCTTCCTTCCAGTTACATGCCCACAAGTTCCTTTATGAGAATATATGTGCATTTAAAACATGTATGTCCCAAGGACAAAAAGAATAAATACTCAATTAAAAAAAAACCCCAAAAACAAATCCACCCAACACAGAAACACCTTGCACAACACCAAAAAAGGTGAAGAAAAAGGAGGCGGGGAAGTACCTGTAATCCTTTCTCCCCAAAGGTAATTAACAGTCGCTGTGGAACCATTTCTCACCCTAGCAACCATCCTCACGTGACCTGAGAGAACTGTCCTAGCAGGGTTCCTGAGGCTGTTCCAACCTTGACAGGAGCTGACTGCCACCACCGGGCCTCCAGTCTCACTTAGCAGCCCATCATTTAACCACTTCACCGCGGTCTAGTATTTATTTTACTGGAGTAACTTCCAAAACTTATTTAAGTAAAGCTCACGTGGCCTAGTGGCGAGAAGCTGAGCTGCAATCCCTATAGCATGCAATTTGAGGCCACCAGATGCTCCTCCAGTGCAATTAACTGCCTCTGAAAACCCATTGGAGGGTCAGCTATGGGTCGGTTCTGACTCTGTGGTACACAATAACAACAACAAATGAATCGATGAGCTCTGTTTTGAAGCTTAGGGTGAGAACAGAGTGTATGTGTGTGTGAGAGAGATACGTTGTTGTTATGAGATGAGTCGACTACAACTCGTAGCCATCCTATGAACGGTGGCTCCGAACCTTGCTCTATCCTGAGCCAACCTCTCACCATTTCTCACCTCATTGCCACAGTACTCTGTCAATCCATCTCATGCAGTGGCTTCCTCTCCTATGTCCCTCCACCCTTCCAAGCATGATGTCCTTCTCCAAGCACTGACCCTGCCTAAAAACATGCCCAAAAGTATGTGAGCCTGAGTTTCAAAATCCTTGTCTCCAAGGATCAATCCGGTTTCACTCTTTCCATTCCAGGACAGATCTTTATGTTCTCTTGGCAGTCCGTGGTGGATGTTCAATACTCTTCTCCAGCACCACAGCTCAAAGACATCTGTCCTTCTTCTGTCATTCTCTCCAGCTCGCAGATGCATAGTAAGCAGTTGAGAAGACCATGGGCTGGATCAGGCATACACTGGCACAGACAGCACACTAGTTAAGACTGACTTCTTTGCTCTTCAACACTTCGGAGAGGTTCTTGATGGCAGATTTTCCCACTACAACTCATCTTTTGACATCCCGACTGATAGTGTCAAGAGTATTGATTGTGGCTCTGAACTAGATGAAATTGTTAACAACCCCAATCTTTCCTCCATCTATCATGGTGCTGTCTATTGGCCAGGTGGTGAGATCTTCTTTTTCTTGGTGTTGAGATGATGCAATCCATAATGAAGTCTGAAGTTCCCAATCTATCACAACAAATGCTTCAAGTCCTCCTCAGTTTCAGCAAGCAAGGTTTGACATTTGCATAACACAAGTTATTGATGAGTCTTCCTCCAATCCTGATGCTACATTCTTCTTCATAAAGTCCAACCTCTTGAATGAGTCATTCAGCACATAGGTTGAAAAGGTATGGAGTATTCCTTTCTTGACTTTGAACCATGCAGTGTTCAGACAACAGGTTCTTGGTCTAGATATAGGTTTCCCATGAATATAACGTGTTCTGAGATTCCCATTCTTCTTAATGTTAGCTATAGTTTGTTATGATGCACATAGTCAGATGCTTTTGCATAGTCAATAAAGCACAAATATACAGCCAGGATCCTTCCAACACCAGCAATGATATCCCTGGTACCACTGCCTCTTCTAAACCCAACTTGAACTTCTTCTGGTAGTTTTCTGTAACTGCACTGTTCTGGCTATAATTTTCAG